GGGGCAACTAGTCAACTAACACTTGCAGGGTAAGAGCAGAAGTTTCATTGCCTCCATGTTTCCTTTACTGCCCAACTTCAGACAACACCTTTTTAAAAAAACAGACAAGGGTAAGAACCTTGCCAAGATTTGTATGGCAGGAAGTAAAATGAAGGTGTGGGGCCTTATAATACTTGGTATTGTCAGTCTGTAGTGTAGGGGGATTGACCTGCCTTAGGTAACTTGAATAGGGACTAGCTGTGCTGAAAGAAAAATGCAAAAAACTATTTACAGTAGATGCTGGTCATACTATTTGCCTCCTAGGATCCATCCAATTGTACTAATCCAGTATATGCTTCGTTCAGCAATACCAAGCCCTGATGATAGGGAACCATTTGAACCCCCAAACCGCGTTGGATTTTTTTAATGAGACAGAATTCCAAATAAAAATAAATCTGGACTCCATAGATTCTGCCTTCAGCACTTTTCTCTTGGTAATCTAGGGTTTTTTTTTGCCATCTCTGATCCCATTGGGCATACCTCCCAACTGTCCCTCATTTGGAGCCAAATCCTTCTATCCCTCTTTCCTTCTGAGGTGTCCCTAATTTTTGACAGATGTGTAGGCCTCTGTAATAAATGCAATACTTGACTACAAAAAGTGTTACATTACACTAAACCTTCCACACACACCTATTTACTATCATCGCATTATTGTTTTAAAAATCTAGTATAAAGGAAACCTAGTGATGAAAGAAAAAGTACTTGTGGGTTTAGTCAGTCATTTGTTGCTTAAAAAATTCTTAATGGGCCACGAGATGGGTGGCATGGCAGGGGGTGAGTATTTGACTAAGCACTTTGCATAAAATGGTGCCCCTCTTTCCCATCTCAGAATGTTGGGAGGTATGTCGATGGGGAGGTTAGGCCTAGCCATGCATGTATAGACATTGTATAGGTATAGGCTCAGTCCACCTTTGATAATGTTGTTGAGAGTGGTGCTGATGTCATCGCATGCGCTCTGCCTGCAGAGTGCCATGCTTAGGGGGCGAGGCCATGACGCCCTGCACTTGCAGTGACACTGGGCATTATTCAATTAGGACATCTAGTGGAGAAGAAGAAGTACTGCAGTGGCATCTTGATTGACTAAGATGAGTATTACAGCTAGAGCTGTGTTGTGTGTTTTTTTTTAGGGGGCCCATGGACTATTTAAAAATTTTAGAGTTAGGCTTTAATGAATACGACAGGTATAGGTGAGTCTGTGCACACATACATAAACACACTCCTGCAGCCCACCCCCTGCCTGATACCCCTCCTGCACTGCAGAACACGCATTCTAAGTCGGCACACTTCAGGCAGGTTCAGGTTGTATAGAGGACGCTTGATTTGAGTCAGTAATTGCTGTCTTCCCATCGGATTTTCCAGCTGACATCTCATCTCACTGGTGCTCGTGTCTCCCCCCCTCAACCCTCTACTCCCCATCTGATTTCTACCTATCCTCCTAATTGGGACTCCAGATCTGTAGATTCAGTGATTTTATCTGAGGAACTGACCCAAGCTGGGGGGAGGGGGAGCTACTTTTGCCGCATTAAAACAGTCTATAATTGAGTTGTTTAGTGTTAACTCCTTCAGGGAATTCCTGCAGAACGTTCTTCCCAAAAAATTCCAACCCCACCAGCTAGCACAGCACAAAATTTCCTTACACAATGGAATCTCACTGTTAGAATTCTAGTTCTTCATTTTAATCGGTGCTATGATTTATGTTAGCTACCTTGTCCACAAATATATTGCAACTCATTTGAAATATTAAGTTGCCCAAATATATAGAGCATTTTTAGTCTAACAACAAAGACTGCATAAAAAGGCAGGTGACTTTATTTATAGTAGATGGTAAAGTGAACCTGTGCTTTGTCCATGCAGGCAAGGAAAGAGGTTCACTTTATTGCCAACCCTTGCAGAAGATTTTATACTCTTCTGTTTGCACCCTTGCTGACCCGTTCACCACCGGAAGTGAAGAGAAATACCCAGCACTTCCAGGTATAGGAACCTTCCAATATAACAGTGCAGGTGTTTGATTATTGACTGCTCAGACACACAGTTCTGTCACATGGAGTGGGGAAGTCCAGAAAAATTAGGTGTGAGGGAGGTCAGGAAATGTTGGTTGGGCTCAATGACTCAACTTCCAACAGTTCTACCACAAAGTGAGGGCCCCCACAAAAGATGATAGCCTCACAAATTGAGAAATCCAAATGAAATATACAAAAAAAGCACAAATCGTCTTAAGAGTCCTCAATCATTTATTGATTTTACCAATATGACAAAAGGAAGATACAGGGTATCCAATTTGACTACATCTGTATCTATCTAAGGAGGGTAAAGCCAAAGTGGCAGCTAGTCTCCAAACAGCACCATCCAGTGACTTGTAAATACAGAAACATATCGTGATCTGGGATCAGGCTCAGAGGTCATTGGCTATAGCAGTAGTGAGGTTCATGCAGTAATCAGCTGGATATATACACAAGCAGTTCCCCTGGTGGAAGATGAGGGTACACCCAAGCCATGGGGTCTAAGCACTAGCCTGTCTTCATCAGAGCTCCTGATGGTGGAGTTGAGATTGCTCTGTGCTAATACCAGGCTCTGTTCTCAGGATAGCCCCACTAGAAAGAGAGCAAGTGGGGCTCAGGTAGCGTAGCAGATAGGGAACAAGCAGAAGAGTAGTCAATGAACAAGCCAAAAGGTCAGTAAAGAGTAGTAACTGCCTGGGATCAGGTGGAAACGTAGTCGCTAAACAAGCCAAGGTTGGTAACAGGTAGTAGCTGGTTGGGATCAAGCGGAAGTGTCCTTGATGAACAAGCCAAGGGTCAGTTATGAGTGGTAGCACAGATAAGGACAGCAGCAGGTATGCAAGGAGCAAGATATTGGCTGGAGAGGGCAAAATAATCTGGCAAAAAGGAAGTGCAAGGACATGGTTTAAATAGAAATTTGATAGGAAGAGCAAAGATTCGAAGGTTCTACAGAGACAAGGTGAAAAGCGGGAATTTCCAAGCAATTCAGAGGGCACAGCAAGAGGATCCAGAGCCACACACCACAGAGGTCTTGGGTTCAGATCTGGATATTGACACAACAGCTGTCTGCAGTCACATTGTTATAAACACAACTGTCCCTTTATGTATCTTGTTTCAGCCCTGATATGAAGGGGGATGGAAGGTCCCCAAAACGTATTGGTTATCTTTTATTTTCTTGTTGTCACATTGCTACCAGTAATAAATGACCATGGACTCTTTAGATGACCCCCCTGGCACTTTTTTGTCTATTTAATTTGAAAATACAACCGTGACAGCTTTTGTTGGGTTCTTTTTCAGCAGCTTCAAGAACACGGTTGAATATAAGATTTATAGCAGCACTCCAGTGATCCTTTAATGAGGAAGATAAACCAAAATCCTTATCAGGATTTATTGCTGCCTGCTGAGGTGTGTTGCCCTGACTTTTAATAATGCCCACAGCCAGGAGAAAGCTGGGTAAAGGGACTACATGAGAAAGGCCAGGAAACAAGGACAAGCTATAAAACAAAAAAATGCTTCATCTCCCCTCAAAACGTTGATCTTGGACACGAACTCCAAACCCATGCCCTAGCTGTTTCCTATTGAACACTAGTCCTAACTATAACCCAAAAGTAACTCTAACCCTAAGTCTAACGCTCATGCCAACCGTTAATGTTAAAGTGCTGGGAAGGAAAAGCGGCCTACAAGTTGGCTGGTCAAGTCTGTTGGGTAGGAGAAACAGTGGGGAGGTCTAAGGAGATGGACGAGGAGGGCATTTGCAAGTTTGTAACTTCGAAGAAAGTTGTCTCACCTACCACATGTTGAAGGTGATCTCTGACCATGCTTTCTTCAAGACGGCTGAGAATATTCAATGAAATTCATATACTAGTTGAAAAAGAAGTGAAAGGCCATTTTTTTCAATGAGGAAGATTTCTACTCATTTCCTGAATTAGACAGAGATACCACCACAGATAGGAAATGAAGGACATCTTCCAGATGGGGAAACAAGCAGCAGCAGTAACTTGACAGAAGTTTTAAACTTGCCCAAGTCTATCTAAAACTAGAACAAAACGTTTTTTCCATTGCTTTTATTTTAAAGACACAGTACTAGTGTCTGCTAATAGTCCCCACTGAAATTTGAACAAGACAGGGCTTCCATGTATGGAGGAGCGTTTGACCTCCCCCATGTGACAGTGCTTGACTTTGAGCGACCAATCACCAGGACTGAGCACTGTTACATGGGTAGGGGCTTGACAACATCCTCCAACAACACAGCTTGCCCAAGGTGGACTCTTGCAGCAGAAAGGCAGTGAGGGAGAATGTATTGCTGAGTATACCTTGATGAAGGGGGTGGGATATCTAAAGATTCTGTGACTTTGCCTATTCAGGGCATGCATTGCCTCTTTAAATTTTATCCTGCCCAGTTTGCACACCAGGAGGACATCTGAATTTGTATAATAAGCCTTATTCATTTTTAAGTTAATTAAATCCACAATACTAAGTTAGTCTTTCACCAGACAGTGTGGTCCATTAGTGAACTCTATGTACATACAGTTGTGTTCAAAATAATATCAGTCAGACATCACTAACCTGATAAATAACTGTTTTTGGTAGAAATTATATTTCTACATGGCAAATAATTTACTAGCAGGTGTAGTAGAGTAATAGAAATCCAACAGACCCAACAGTCATGACATGCATGCTGCTGATTCTGTGTAATTGAATCACTAATTGAAAGGGGCATGTTCAAAATAATAGCAGTGTGGAGTTCTATTAGTGAGGTCATTCATTCTTTAAAAAAAACAAGTGGCAATTATTGCCCTTATTTAAGGAAGGAAGGCAGCAAATGTTGTAAATGCTGGTTACAGTGCATTTCCCTCTGAAATTCTGAGGAAAATGGGTTGTTCCAGACATTGTTCAGAAGAACAGCATACCTTGATTAAAACGTTGATTGGAGAGGGGAAAACATACAAAGAAGGGCAGAAAATGATAGGCTGCTCAGCTAAAATGATCGCAAATGCTTTAAAATGGCAACCAAAACCTGAAAGACGTGGAAGAAAGCGAAAAACTACCATTCGAATGGATAGAAGAATAGCCAAAATGGCAAGGACTCAGCCAACAATCAGCTCAGGAAGATCAAAGAAGGTGTAAAGTTACCTGTGAGTACTGTTACAAGTAGAAGACGTCTATGTGAAGCCAAGCTATCTGCAAGCTATCTGAAAAAAAGACATGTGCTGAAGAGGTTACAATTTGCCAAAGAGCACATTGACTGGCCTAAAGAGAAAAGGCGCAACATTTTGTGGACTGATGACAGTAAGATTGTTCTTTTTTGGGTCTAGTGGCCGGAGACAGTTTGTCAGACGACCCCCAAACACTGAATTCAAGCCACAGTACACTGTGAAGACAGTGAAGCATGGTTGCGCAAGCATCATGATATGGGGATGTTTCTCATACTACGGTGTTGGGCCTATTTATCGCATACCAGGGACCATGGATCAGTTTGAATACATCAGAATACTTGAAGAGGTCATGCTGCCTTATGCTGAAGAGGAAATGCCCTTGAAATGGGTGTTCCAACAAGACAACGACCCCAAACACACCAGTAAATGTGCAACATCTTGGTTCCAGACCAACAAGATTGACGTTATGGAGTGGCCAGCCCAATCCCCGGATCTTAATCCAATAGAAAACTTGTGGGGTGACATCAAAAATGCAGTTTCTGAGGCAAAACCAAGAAATAGAGAAGAACTGTGGAATGTAGTCCAATCATCCTGGGCTGGAATACCTGTTCACAGGTGCCAGAAGTTGGTTGACTCCATGCAACACAGATGTACAGCAGTTCTCAGAAACAGTGCGACTACAACCGAATATTCATTAAGTGATTCAAAGGAAAGCAAAATCTTCAAACATTTTTCAGTTTATATAGTGAATGTTTGAGTTTGTAAAGAAGAATACAAACACTGCTATTTTTTGAACAGTCTAATATTCACTTTTCTTCAATTTTTTTTAGAGGAACAACACAAATTTGATATATTTTTCTTCATGTTTTGATTTGGAATAGAATGTGTCGTGTTCCCAATGCATTTGTGCGTATGGAAATAAAAGCTATTAGAAGGATTTTGAGCTTTATTCACTTTTTTCAACACACTGCTATTATTTTGAACACAACTGTATATACAGTCGGTGTGAAAATGTGGAGCTCATTCTAAATGCCTGGATAGAAAGGGTGTATTGAGCTAGAAGCCTCAATGAACAGGTGCTTACCGTAGCATTTACTTTGCTCCACGTTCTAATGGAAGTGCAGTGTGGGGCAGACTTTGGCACTATGGTATCCAGTCTTATCAATACCTTCCGTAAAAGAGTCTCCCATAGCCAGGGATATCGATCACATGGGCAATGTTGAAGGTTTATGGCACAGGTGACGGCACACCAACTCATCACAGCAGAGAAAACAGTATTTAGGTTGGTCTTCGAAATTGCCCCTCTGATCATTACTGCAGACAGGGGCTGGCAGATTTGGAGGCTTTCTTTAGACATGGGATCAAAGCTCAATCCGGGCAAAACTGTCATCTCTAGGGAACAGCGACGTGAGTTTGGCAAAATCATGAGGAGACAATGACTGCATAGGTGAAATTTGCTATTCTTCTCTATTAAATTTATTTAGATTTTTTTTGTTTTTGGGGGGGGGGGGGGTAGTTTAGTTTTTTTTTTAACTGAGGGCTTATTTACAGCAGATTTACTGTGGCTATGTTTGCAGGTAGTTCTAGTGTAGCACCAACTCATATTGCTGTTTACCAGTTGCTGCTGGTTAGTAACTCTCCTGGTCCAGCAAGTAACTTCCTTACATAGATTTGCACAGGAAAGCTCTATTTTGAGTCCATTCAAGTTTCAGGCTTTAACTGAAGCCCTGATGAAGGTGGAGTGATTTCTGGCCCCCGAAACGCATTGGTTGTCTTTTACTGCAAACCAATACGTTAATTTGGACCCTTCTATCATTTGGTCTGGTGCTTCTTATATTGGTACATATTAATTTCCAATGGTGTCAGTTCAGACCACAGAGTTGCTGTTACATGCAGTACTTTTTTAAGTGCAGTGAGTTGCAATGCAAACCACCACATTGCAAAACTCATGATATTTCAATAAAGTTCTGAGAAAAAAAGTAAACTGTGCAATGCAATAGGATCAGTACATGGGCTCTCTGTCTCCCGACACACGCTGGAGGCTGTGATAAAATAGATAAGTGGATGATTAAGTAGTAAATGTGTATGAATTATTTTTGGAGAATAACAACTTAATTTAGTGTCACTGTAATTTGTTTACAGATTTTTTTTCTTTCTGTAAAAAAGCATAAAATAATGAAGGTAACAAGAAGCCATTCAGAATAGTTAAAAAGACTTTCTATAACCCACAGGAGCCATGTAAAGCCCATTGCACCCTTAAATACCACCAAAAATCACCTTCATTTCGCATTCCATTTGACTTCAAAACATTTAGGGAAAATAGTGAAATTTCAGGGAACATTGAAACTTTCAGTTTTGCTCTTCCTGAGTTATTTGTTGTCTATCAGTAGCTTTAAGACTAAGGTAAAGGTCAGCATTGAGGGGGAATTGTACATATTTATTTCCCTTAAAGTGTATCTAGATCTAGGAGCACAAAAATAATGTGTTGCAGTCAGGGTCGTATTTACAACAAGGCAAACAAGGCATTTGTCTAGGGTGGCATTTTCAGGGGGGCAACACCGCCACCCGGAAGAAGGGATGGAAGAAGGGACACACACACAGCAAGGGCAGCAGGTGGGATTCAAGAGTGGCTGTGGGCTGCTTCGTTCTCAGGGATGTCCAGAGCTGCGAAGGTTAGTGTCTTTCTCTTTATCGCCGGGGGGGGGGGTGTTGTTGCCGTGTATGGGGGGAGGTGGTAGTGGAAGCCTCACTTGGAGGGGGCAGGTGTGTTGTTGGTCAATGTCCGGCTCTCTCTGCGGAGAATTGTGGGATTTGTGTGTTGCCTAGGGTGGCACAAAACCTAAATACGCCACTGGTTGCAGTTTAGCAGTCCTTAGATATGGCTGCTGCATTAGTTTTCTTTTTTTTCAGAATTTTTTTCCTAGTGATCCAGCCACTAATGCAGGAGCAACGTCATCACCCCAGGACAGGAAGTGTGTTTTGGACTACAGAAGACCTCCACATTTATTCATCTCCATAACGTTGGAGCAGGGGCGGACTGACCATTCGAGCACTCAGGCACTGCCTGAGGGCCTGGGATCAGTGGGGGGCCCCATGAAATGCCCCTGGTACCTTTTTATAGGCTTTTTTGGGTGTGCTTTGAGTGTGGGCAAGGACACAGGGACCCCATGATCCCCTATTGCCTGGGGGCCCCATGAGTTGTCAGTCTGACCCTGCGTTGGAAGGAGGTGTTCTGTTGTCCACAGAGAGAACTGAGCATTGCTGGTGTCACGGTTTGTTGCCGCTCTCCCCCCTCCAGCTGTCCCGCTCACGAACGATCCCCCCTCCACCTCTCATCCTGCAGCGGCTCTTTGAAGCCGAGCCGCGCAGGACGAGAGGTGTGACTCCTGTCACCCCCTGTCACTATCTTCTCCCCATCCGGCGAGGCCGGAGGGGAAAAGATGGAGAGGTTCACACCTCTCTGCGGTCAGACTGATGCCGCACGGTCCCGGCATCCGCAGCGCGGGCACGGAGAGTTCCTGCGCTTGCGGATGCCGCTGGACAAAGGCCACGCTCATGAGAGCGCGACCCGTATCCAGGGGGCGTGCCTCGTTGCCGGGCGAAGAGGCAATCTGCCCCCGGCCCGCCTCGTTGCCAGGATGACCGGGGAGCGTCCTGCATCGGCTTAAGAAGGCTGATGCCGGGCTTCCCGATTTTTCATTCCTCTGTCAAGCCACAGAGGGATCCCAGCTGAGGCGGGACCCTCGTGGTCACTCTGCATAAGACCCCAAGGATAAGGGGGAGCCTCCGCAAGCTGCTGCCGCGCTGCAAACCCCAGGGAAGGGGAGACCTCCACAGCTGCCGCTCTGCAAATCCCAGAGAAGGGGAGATATCCGCAGCTGCCGCTCTGCAAGCCCCAGTGAAGGTGGAGACCGCCGCAAGCTGCCACTCTGCAAACCCCAGGGAAGGGGAAGACCGCCACAAGCTGCCACTCTGCAAACCCCAGGGAAGGGGAGACCCCCACAAGCTGCCACTCTGCAATCCCCAAGGATAAGGGGGAGAGCCACTCAGCTGCCCACTGCAGCCCCAGAGAAGGGGGAGATCTCTGCAAGATGCCCTCTGCAGGTGCCCAGGACTTGTGGGAATTATTACCACGCATCATACTTCGGATTCAGGACAAGTACTCGCTGTTGTACTATCTTGCTCCCCATGGACCCGGGCACCCCTGCTGGATCCGTGAGTATATGTTCCCCTGTTTTTCCCTGAACTGTTCTTGTACCCAATCCCCACCTCCTTGTTTGGATTCCAACCTCTGTAGAGACTTTATTCCTGCTCGGGGCTGGACTACAAGTATTTTGAGCCATCTCCTTGCTATTTCCATACTGGGCACTGTCCCACTCCCTGCAATCCCTCCATTGAGTGACTGTCATTTGTCTCAATAAAGCTTTGTGTGTTTGCCATCCGCCTTGTGTGTTCTGTCCTGCCTACCCTCCGTCACAGCTGGTAACCTAGTTTGCGATTTCAATGCAACATTGTCCATTCACTAGAAGAAGTTAGGAGCTTACTGGAGTTACGGCACTATGAACAGATTTTTTTTTTTAACCAATCGAACACGGTACTGATGTCTACACATCAGATTCCTGGCAGAAAATTACTGAAAAAAGAAACATAAGGATGTGCAGCATAGTAAATGCACATTTGATGTGCGAACACGCACATAGAAATTCTTCCAGCTTTTGTTGGGATGTGTCGTACATATTTGCGTGCAACCACACGGGCGCTTGTAAAATACTGTCCAGCAACGTAGATTTAATTCTTTTTTTCTGATCTATTTGCAGCGCATGTTTACCCCGCTTTGTGTCCAGGCACAAATAAAACAATCGAAGAAGATATTATTGTTCTTGTTTTTTTTTTTCAGATTTGTGTGTATTTGATGTTCTTTATGTATCATAAAAACCTAATAAAATATATAATAAAAAAAAACAAAAAACAAAAAAAAAGGGGTGCATTTACATCTGTATGCCTAAAAAATTGCATTTTTAAGCATCAATCCAAAAAAAGCCTTAATATTATATTTAGCAAACAAAAATGGATCAGATAAAAGAAATTAATTGTTTTACATACTGAACACTTTAAGAAGTGTATGTGGTCAGTGGGCTACTGGGACTTGTAGTTCTGCAGCAGCTGGTCCATCACTCGCCCGGTGCGGTGAAGACATGTCAAGGTGTTGAGTACACTAGGGAAGGAGAGGTATTGGGGAAGCGGGGGGGGGGAA